TATATATATGCTGACTACTATGCCACATTCTATTTTCTTCGATGTGTTCACTGTGAGTCTAAACCTCACCGATTTGAACTCATAGTGAATTATTCGATGCCCTTAAAATGAAACAGTTGTGCACTTACAGTGAAATACAGGTGAGAAAGTGCTTTGTCGTAGTGCAATGCGAAAAGAACCAAATTGGTCAAATTAGAACATCTGTCTTCAAAAATTGTTTAATTTCGCTGTTTCAGAAGCAGCTGTCATAGCGATGATGACAGCTGGAAGACAGTTACACTGACTTCTGCAACAGAATGTCATTTTCAATACTTATCGACTCAGGTATCTGTTTCACGCCATAGAACTACACCAACCAGCACTGCTACTTTTCAGTTTCAATCACTAAGCTCTTTAATTCTTTTTTTTTTCGGTCAAAGTGCAAAACAAATAAGTTTGTACTTTTTTTAAATGAAATTATAGTAAATTTTTTAATTTATTTATTGAGTTTCTTTACCTAAACGTACGCCTACGCTTCATTCTTTACGAAAAGCGTTTAAAATTCCTTTTCCTTTTTTTTTTGCTTACGTCTGTCAAATAAAAACTGAATCACGTCACCGTTTATTTGATTGTGCTGCTGCTAATGCTGCAGCTAACACAGTCCAAATGCAGCTGCTTCTCATGACAGGGTGACGACGTTGCTGATGATCATGTCGATAATGACGATGATAAGGACGACAATGACGATAGCGGTATTTGCCAATTATCGGCAGGAGCAGTAGCAGCAGCCGCAAGAGTAGTAGTATAAAAGAGTTTCAAGTGCTAACTGCCAATAATGAACTTATTGCGATTACTTATTGCTTGACATATTATTACTGTTCTAATAAATCATCAAAGACTACAACGTTTTCTAGTATGCTCAAAGTATTTTTAATAAGTACTATTTGTCTTTCTAATCATTCTTCAACCTTTGCATTCAATACTACAAAAGTCTTTTGTGGTTTTCATCAAAGAGCTTTATCAATAGCCTTTTATCTTTTTGCTTTGTTATTATTCTGTTAGTGAGTTTGGGAACTGTTTTTTTTTTCTTTCATACTGTGTAGTGGTGAAATTTTAACCTCTGATTGACACTGTGTAATTTTACTTCTATACCATTTACACACAAATAACTTTCTTTCTTGTAATATAAATTGTAAAAAAAAAAAGAAAGAAAAAGAAAAACCAAAGATAGCTTTTTTAATCTTGAATTTTTTTTCGCTTTTAAATGATTCATAATTACGTTGTTTGGTTAACCTAAGAAAAAAGTTTTTTTTTTTTTTTGATTTAAATACCTCCTCAATGTTTTTATTGTATTTTTTTAGATAATGCAAGAAAATAAAAGAGCAAAAAAAAAAATTTGCCCACCCTCAAGACGTCCAGACACACTGTTGTCGATTGGCATTAAATTATTTTCAAGAATTTTAATACATTTTTAAATATAAAATAATGTGAGAGCCAAAAATAGAAAAAAAAAAAAAAGAAAAAGTGAGAGAAGAAAAAAATATGTATAAAAAACTGAACTTTCCTATTTAAATGCTTCAGTTGGTATTGGTGATGATGGTAGTGTTTGGGTTACGCTCCGCCCAACGTGTAGACTATTTCTGAGTTGTGGAAACCCATTTATTTATTGCCCACCTTGATGATTTCTGAATTTGTCTACGACCTCAAAGTTGTAATGTTGTTGTTTCTGTTTGCTGTTCCTGCTGCTGCTGCCGTTGTTGCTGTCCATCAGTAGACGGCAACTGCTTCGGGTCTGTATTCTTCTGTAACTTTAAATTTCGATAAAAATTAGAAAATTTAGACAGTTTCTCTTTCATTTTTACTTTTTTCTTTTGTTTTTTTCTGAATCTAATGATGGTACGGAATTGTATACTTGCTATAAAATCAACAATTACACACTTCAGTGGAGTCGACCAATCAACTTGACTGATCCAAATGACCAAAACTATTTTTGCTTGTCGCGTACATTCTGTGTTGTTTTGAATCATCTATCTTTTCTTTGAAAATTAAATTAATGTTAACTTGAAATTAAGTTATTACAATAAAATAGAAAAAAGTAAAGAAAGGTAACTGCATTTTTATAAATACATGTTTTTTAATCTTTTGTTTATTTTCTTCAAAGTTTCGTTTTATTGGACTGCCATGTGAACATGAAAAAAAACAGTCATAGTTGTTATAGTTAACTTTAATCTTATGCCTCTTTTTCTATTCTTTTTTGTCACAGTTTTTTGGTACCGTTTTCATATTGTTCAACAAATGCTTATTTTAAGTTATCATGGTTCTTTATTTATGATAATACAATACCATCGTCTATGCTTTTACCTTTACTCTTCTATTGTACTTTACACTGAGCTTGTGAGAATCGAGAGAGCAAACAGTAGAATTATGACTTAAAAGAGGTAAAGAAAGACAGAAAAAAAACAGATACAGAAAGGAAAATTAGAGTGAAGTGACAAAATATGGGATGGTTGAAATAGTCGTTCTGCGATACTTTATTTTTGCCTTTTCTAAATGAGTCAACTTTATGTACTGTTCATTGAGATTTATCAAAATTGTTTACTGAAAAACTGAACAACTTTTTAGGCATAATTAAAACGTTATGTATCCAAGAATGGTACCTATTTTTTGCTGTTTTTTGTTCTTTGAAATTGTGATATATGCGCATCTTTCAGCATTTACTGCTGCTGCTGCTGCTGCTACCGTTCGCTCAACTTTCAATACGTTTTATTGTTTTCAGGTGTTTTTTGGAGGCTCTGGAAAAAGGAAACCCTTGATTGCAATCAACTCTCAGTCATTTATATTGACAAAAAAAAAAAAGGAAACAAGATGATAAGCATACTGGCAAATGGCCCTGCAGATGCAGAATTTTTTTCATGTAAACAGCCATCGTCATTGTTCAGTAATCTAATGGTAAGCATCTTCTTTTATTTGCAAGAAATTTGGAACTTTTTAAACACTGTTTTTTCAGTGAATTTAAATCGTTATAACCCATTGTTAATTGTCGACAACAGTTATAAATCATCCTTATACTCTTCTGCCTTTCTGTCTTGTCATCAATCTTCTCCATAACCATTTTTTTTACCTTTTTTCGTTCTTTTATGCCAATAATGTTGGAAATAACAAGCACAGGATTAAGTAACACGTTATTTTACATATATAAGATTTATATTTGTAAGGAAATTTGCATGGAACAAATACAGTAAATTAATGGATTTTATGTAGAGACAAAATTAAATGCCAGATGAAACCTTCTTAACCGATTATGCGATACTTAAGAAATAGTATTGCAAAAACTATGATCTTTTTTTTTCTCTTTTACTTTAGTCGTCTTTATCGGCTTTGAATATAATTTTCTTTCTAGCTTATTCTTTGCCAGTATCGTATTGGTTACCGTCTTTTCGTTTAAGTAGCGTTTACACCGCTTTTCCTTCTTGAATCGTTTCTTTTAACAAATTTTTTACATATATGATATGGGATAATGTTGAGTGATTTGAAAAAATCTTTGAGTTTTAAATTACCAACAGAACCAGTGAAGCTCTACATTTTTTTGGGCGACAATGGATTTTTTAAATATTAATTTTATTTGTACTTTACAACAATCTTGAATTTTCAAGCCTATTCTAGTTACTTTCGCTTTTTATCTCTTTCCAATTTTTTTCTTCCAATTTATTTACTCTTAAAAAGCACATTTTTGCTACATTACACACGTGAAAGTATTGCCTGCACAAAGAAATGGGCAAAAAAAGTGAGAAACAAAAAAGAATTGGGAATATCACAATAAATTTGATTTTTTTTTTATATATTTTGTAATGCTTTACAACTCTACAGACAGTTATCATCTGAAGTGTAACTGCAACTTTATTGGTGATAATTACAACAGTCAGACTTTGAAGCACTTTCACTGAACTTTCTCGTTATGTCATAGCAAATCAAGATTTTTCTTATAACAACAGTAATAATATATTTCGGTCTTCTTCTAGCTTGCTGCTTATTTTTTACCGGTTTTATCCTTTACCATCTATTCTTATTGCCGCAGTCTTTCATCCATTTTTTTTTCTATTTACCCGCTTTTCACATTATTCACACAATATCTGACTGCTACTATAACGTTTATTGATCATCGTAGATCAATCATAATTATCATTATCATCTTTATCATCATTATCATTATCTGTCTAAAAAAACAGTACTATTTTTAGCGAAAACCGATTAAGCTGAACTACGGTTCTCGACGTCGTTCTTTGCTATTTGGAAAAGTGCAACAGCAGTCGACTTCGTCAGATGAGAAGTGGAAGAATTTGTTGGTACAAGCACAATCAAAGTTGGCACTAAATGCTACATTAAATGCAGCAAGTGAGCATTATATTTAGTTGAATTGATGTTTAACATGAATAAAGTAGCAGCAAAAAAATTATACAAACTGTTTGTTGCAGTTTAAAAACACCAATAAAAAAAAATGACTATTGGAATATCAGAAAAGACAAATGACTCAAGAAAAAAACCTTTTTTTAGCAAGTAAATTATTACTCAATTAATTTTCCAGTTTGTCTAAGAGATAATTAACCATTATTAATATGTTCTGTATTTTTGTTAAAATATTGGTACCAAAATTAAGTTTCTTAGCGCTCTTGGGAAGGCTAAAGCAAGGAGTGACAGATAGTTACAGTACAGTACTGCAGGAAAATGTTGTTCAAAAAGTTCGGAATGTCTTTCAACTGTTCACGATAAATCTGCAGCAAACCAGGCAACAACAATAGCAGCATTGGCAGCTTCAGCATTTAAAGCATCCACATTTGAAAGTTTAAAATCTTCAACTGAATTAAAGTGTATAATTGGAAGCAGCAATAATGATGATACTGATGATGAGGTGCAACAAACGGCACAAAATGCTATCAAATTACAGGAATTTTGCATTGAACGCAGAAGTAGCATTTCTTGAGCCCAATCACAATTTATACCACTGATCTCCTTCATTTTTTTCTACGTTTTTTTTGTTTATACATATATATAATTTCTTGTATTTTATTATCACTACTTTTAGCTGTTAAATAGAATAAAAAAAAAAGACGAAAGAAAAAATAATCACAACAACAAAAAAAAAAAAAAGACGGAAAAAATAAGAGAAAATTGAGGGAAAGTATTGCGTATAAAAATTTAACTAGAAATGATAATATACACTGAAGTTTTGTATTCACACACTTTAAAATAGCAATTAATCATAATAAATTTTTTTCTTCTTTTTGCAACTTTTAGCTTTTTCTTGTTTATTTTCTTATAAATTTTTTACAAAATTTTGTAAACAGCTTTAACTAAACAATCTGTTCGGTTTCCTTCTTTGATTGTTAACTGTTATTACAACTAATAATAATATAATCATTAAAAAAAAAAAAAATTTTTTTTTATAACTGTATCTCTTCAGTAACCACTTTTTTTTCTCGTTTTCTGATGGACACACAATGTTTGTTATTATTACTGTTAATGTAAAGTGTTCTTTTTTTTTTTGCTTCTGTTCACCACTGAACTAATTTAGTTGTTCTGGTTTTGAGCTAAAAATACTGTAAACGTATCATTATCGTATATATTTATAAATGTATATTTTTTTCAGTTTTTTATTTGTTATCATTTTTTTTCTGCATTTTGTACTACTGCTAAGTTGTTAGTTGAAAATTTTTGTCAATGAATCTCCTTCTGCAATTTTATGATTGTCATTTGTTTGTTTATTTTTCTTTTGCTTCTTGCAATAAAAATAAGAATTATAAATAGTTTTTTTTCAAAACAGAATTGCTGTTTATTTTCAAATGCCACAAATTCACACAATTCTTATTTGATTCAATAAAAATTGCCAAAAAATATACATAGTGGTAAGAGATGGTTGTCAGTATGGCAATATGCGGATGAAGAACGATGACAACATACAACAGTTGTACAGTTATCCAGATTATTGTTCCTTCTTATTGAAGACTAAAAGTTTAGATTTATAGTGTAAAACAAACACTGGTCGACTGGATATGTAGTAAAAAGAAAAAAAAAAAAA